TCTCTGGACGTCCCCTGGTGAGTCCTTGGAGTCAGGAAAATTGTCTGTATCTGACTGATTCGTCATCCCCCTGGTAATTTTTTTCAAAGGTGAACTTCTCTCCAGGTTGTCAGTGGTCGAGATAATGGGATGATCGTGCAAGACAAGCTCGGATCCGCCTGAATGTGGGTAGCTGCTGCTCACATTGAGAAATTTCTTGGAGAGCATGATAGAAGGAGAAAGGCAGTGCTCCAGCTGCATAGCTCTAGAACCTGAACACTCGCCCTCCCGTCCCTGGTTTTTAAAGTCCTATTTATCATAAACTAGAAATCCACAGACCCCCTCACTAGACAGAAAGCACTTCAACCAGCAAATGCTTCTCAAAGGTTTGATTTACTTTTTTTTTCCCTGGGAGAAGAGATTGGCCAATTGACACTATGCAGCAATCAGAAAAGGCTCACTTTTGATCTTGCTGCTTGTGCTGCCGATGAAACGGCTCCTGCCATTGGTTAACTGCTGACAGTAATTTAATTAGATAGACATTAATTAGGATAATCACCTGGCTCCTGGTAGCGACGATCATGGCAAATTGAAGGGGATGATTTTATTGTTGGCTTGGGGGGTGGGGAATGTGTGTTGGTTTACGTGAGCACTGTTGTGTCACCTTTAAGCTTTGTGACCACTGCTTTAGGAAGATTCAAAGATGTGCAATTTACTAAACATTTCCTACCTTCCCCCCCTTCCCCCATTTAGAGCGGAGGGGCGGAGGAGGGAATTCGACGATGCTAGGAGACTTTTCGGATCTGAATGAGCCAAATATTCAGTTGAATGTAACGATTTCAAGTGCAAAGTATACAAAGCGCGAGCCGGTGGCCTCTTCTCGCCCTGTAAAAGTTCCAGAGTCTGTCTTTTCCAGCTAATACAAAAGCACACAACACCTGAGCTGGTGCTTTGTGAGCAGGTCCTACGTGTCCTCGGCGCCCCCACCCCCACCTTTTAAACTGCAAACATAAATAAATAAATCCCTGCTGCTGAGAGCCACAGCGACAAGCAGAAGGGGGGGAGAAGAGGGGGCGAAAAGCAGCAACTCACCCACCAATCCACCCACCTCAGGAAGGTTCGGTTTCTTGTTTGAGCACAGAAACAGTGACAATCTATGATCTCCTTTTTAAGTTTTGAAATAATCATAAGCTGTCGGGCTAAAATGCCTTAATGTATTTGCAGTGATGTTTACCAGGTCTTTACTAAATATTTTATCAGCGAACTTGGTTGCAGATTATCTGAAGAGCATCTAACTGGGGGTAGGCGCCATGCATCCTTCTCGTCCCTCTGTATATCCTTCTCTCTGAGGTACTGGCTTGGCGACAGGTTCAAAAGCTTCGCCAGGAAAAGAGAGGGCCGAGTCCCCGTGCAAATGGGCTCGTCAGAAGCGCTGATCTGGGGAGACAGAGTGGAAGTGGTGTCAACACAGTAATCGCTACTGAAAACGTGTGTGTGTGTGTGTGTGTGTGTGTGTGTGTGTGTGTGTGTGTGTGTGTGTGTTTAATGTTTATATAATCTGGAGGGGAGAAAAAGCATCCATGCCAGTAATTTTAAAAGGAAAAAGAATCTAAAGAGGAATAGAAAAAAACCAATTTAAAAGGATGTTGGCACAAATAAATAGCACGAGGCCCAAAGAGACCCCGAGGTGTAGGAAGGAGGTCTCTCAGCATCCGCTCTACAGAGGAGCCCAGCCCTCGGCCTGAGCCAGAGGGCCAACAGCGGCAGAGGCTTTTTATCTGCCCAAAACTGCCTCCCGCGGCCCGGCGCTCGCTGACCTGCCCTCCCGCGGCTTTCGTCCCGGACGCCGAGCCGCGCGGGAATGAGCAGGAGGAGCGCCGCCCGGAGCTCCGCTCGGCCCCGAGAGCTGGCCGGCCCGAGGGCGGGCTCCGCCCGGGGGAGTGAGGGAGCGCGGGTTGAGCTGCGTCTGGTGCAGACCCCAGGGGCACACACTCTTTCCGTGCTGGAGGCGCGGCCTGGGCATCTCAGCCGGGGGAGCTTCTGGCTTCGAGAGAGCGCGTCTGTCCTACCCGTACCTGGGGCAGCTCTCAGAGTGAGAGCAGCGCTTGGGGACATTGGGTGGGGTCCTGAGCATGGGCGGAGACGGGTTAACCAGACTCGCCGCTTCGCCACTGTGGTGCATTTTCAGAGCGGCACCTCGGTGGGCTGAGCGGTCAGCGCTCAGCCGAGACTGCGCCCCTCGAGGCGGGCTGGGCGCCTTGGCTACAGAGGGCACCAGCTGCGGCCTCCATCAGGGCGCCGCGGGCAAGGCCCTGCGCGGGCGGCCTGGACAGGGCAGGTTGATGACCAGATGTCCCAGACTAAAGCCGAGACAATTTTCTGGGATAAAAAGAGAGCCAGACCCATTTTTCCTTTCGAAAGCAAACCTCAGCTCTTGGTCAGGAAGCTTCATAAACAAGCAGTCTTAGCTGTTGAGTCGTTGGGGTGCGGGGGAGGGGAGTAGGGGATGCCATTTGACACTTGTTTTTCTGCCCTTGACCTTCTACCGCCATTTGCCTCATGAGAGGCTTTTGACCTCTTGACTACTTTTGGCTACTTTCGTTTCCGTCTTTCTCCCATCTTCAACTTCTCTGTCCCTGAGTGCCTCTCCCTCCGTTGCTTCGGAAAACAGTACTTTCCTCCGTTCTCAGTGGGACAGAGCCTTAAGTGTGTAAAGAGGTGAGACATCACCTGGGCTCTTTTTGAGGCTTTGCCATTCTGGACACCCTAAACTGCTTTTTTCTTTTCTTTTCTTTTTTTTTTTTTTAAAGGAAGAATGCTAAAATGAGATGTTAAGGTGTTAAAGGATAGAAAAGGGAAAGAGTGCACCTTCTTCAGAGTTTTTAAGGAATTGATGTGCTCTCTGACCCACTTTGGATTATCAGTAACAAATTCAGTGACTGCTCAAATATAGGCTATGCCTTGAATTTATATATACTAAGGAAAATTAAGGCTTTCCTCAGAATCACCACACGTGCCTGTGAACCATACTTCTAAAAGAAGGCCAGGGCTTCTCAAACCTTAAAGTGTATATGAACCACACCAGAATTCTTGATTATGATTCAATAGGCCTGGGGTGGGGCTTGCTTTCTGTATATATAACAAATTTCCATAAGACCCAGATGCTATTGGTCCAGGCAGATGACACTTTGAATGGTGAGGCCAGAGCTTTCAGTGCCACCATACTAGTCTGAGAGAAAAGCAGGGACATTTCTGCACTAGAGACAAACAGTTTTGTTTCCAGAGCTGCTTTACCTCTGCATGGTGGAGGGGTAGATATGCTCACATAAGCATGCTTGAATGCGTGCACGTGTGTGCGCACACATAGTCTTAAACAGCTTCCTGAGTTTGTGATTAAACGCATCTTTTCAATGCCTAACTGGGCCTGGGACATCAGGCTGCTGTGAAAATAGCTGTACATTCCAAGACAAATGTGTTCACTGAGCCTCGCCTCTTAGGGCATCTTGATTTTGATCGACTCCAAATCTACAAAAATATAGGTTTTTGCTAGCAAAGATTTTGACAAGGTTCTGAAATTGGCAATGTCACCAACATGAACCAAGTGACAGTAAGTGGTGTGTGGCTACAGGGAGTCCAGGAAGATGGGGTGATCAAATAAGGGCAAAAACAGGCAAGGTAAGCCTTCCCAGTCACAGGATTCAGGATATTTTCAGAGGACTAAGTGGAAAACAAAAACAAAAAACCCTTTCAACCCACATATTGAGAATAGTTCTTGAAATGTTAAGGCCTTCTTCTGAGGGCACTGTGCCCCCCAGAAATCACTGACTAGCACTCATTAACAACATCTGCGAAATAAGTTAGAGAATCTTATTTGTAAAGGGAAAAATCATATCCAAAAAGCCTGCACACAAGTTTGAATTAGGCAAAATAAAATTTCACTAACTTCCACTTATATTTTAATTTTAAATGGTTAAATGTAATCCCAACAACTTTAATACATTTTACATGTCCTACATAAAATATACTGTCACTATATCTGAAACAATAAACCACAGGACAAGCAAGAAATGCTCAGAATACTTCTTATCCACCAAAAAAGATATTGTGAAACATACTGGGAATTTAAGCCATTTCTACTTTCAGTTTCTGGTAACTTCACTAGGCAACCAATAAGAGCCTAGACTTGTTCCAGTAGGACAGTAACTTTATCTATCACAGCACTCATAACAGTTCTAGTAGGTTAAGTTAAATTCCAAGTCCCCATGTAAAACCTTCCTTTAATGAAGCCTTAGTAATACTCTCACCACATTTTCACAAGCAAGGGTGTAGACTAGAATTAGATCTTTGTCTATCTTTTGCCATACTCCTTGGTATTATCAGTATGGTTCTGAACCGTAAGTAATAACAGGGGCAGTTACTTTTGTACATCACATTAGAAGTTGGTATTAGCCATTTTTTTTCTCTATTAGAAAACTGGGTAGTCCTAATTTAGAAAAGATGAGACCAAACAATGACAAAATTATTGCTTATAAGCTTATATTAACCTCACATTATGACTACTTTTCTCATTTTGCTTTTTAGACATTATATACTTTCTGTGGTTATTTTAGATAAAAGTCCAGTAGAGTCTGCAGTAGCCAGTTCCCAGTTTCAAAACTGTTGGTAGAAATGTACTCTTTTAAAACATGATAAAGTCTAAATTAAAATTGCTCCCTTTTCTTTGTAAATGTACTCCTCCAAAATCCTAAAAGTATAATATGTTTATAAGAGAGTGAGTATACAATATTTAGCTTATGACAAATGCTAATAAAATGTCAACATTTTTTCTGAGTTACTAATTAGGTAGCCACTCATTAATGGAAATCATTATACATTTGTGAAAGTTTGTTATCACACTGATGTTTTATGTGTTATAAGATCTTAAAATGCAAAGGGAAACATATCTTTGTGTGAGATTTCTAGACCACTGTCAAACATTATTCCATCAATCCCACCCATTGCCAAAAAGACCTCAGGAAGCATAGACTGTAAATGTATTTTATTTTGTAAGTAACAATCAAAATATATTTGTGCTACTGATTTTTTCAAATATTAAATGGGATCTTAACAAAATTTGTCCACTTTGATGTACTCATGTATAACTTTAGAATCTGCAAAGACCCTGACTAAAGAAACAGAAGTAATTGCACAACTGAGACTGAAGGTGTTACGGTGCTGCAGATGATGCCAGATGTCTTACATTTAGCCAAGTACACCTTCAGAGGTCCCTTGATTTTGAGCATTAGGAACAACAGAGGAATATACACTGAAAGCATCATCAATAGCGTTTTTCGTTGCTTTATTTAAATACAACAGTATCCAACATAGCTGCTAAACACTGGACAATATTTGAGGTCATAAGTACATCCACATGTTCCTCCAAATGACGTTTGGGGTCCTAAAAGAGCAAAAATAAGGAGAGAGAAAACAGAACCATATTATTGGTAGATAAATTACTTAAATTTTTTTCAGTAGCCGATGAAACTGGTAAAGAAAGCCAGACCTAACTTAAATATTTCACAATTTAACTTTACTAGTATATTGTTACATTCTTAGAATTTCTAAATCAATAAGTTAAGTAGCTAATAAAATAATAGATTACACAATGAAAGCTTGATTTACACAATGCAATGACTGTGTACCAGAGATTTTTATGAGGAGTAACAAGGAATTCTATACAGCTTACAATCATCTGATTTTTTTAAAAGTTCATTTACATATGTCTACCTGTCTGCATAGATGTGTATATTCTCTACCATTCATATATCTTGAATGTCTGAGGGAATGCTTAATTCAAAGCGGACATACCAATGGGTAAGAGTTCAGTGTGAATTCTCAGCACTTCTTCTATGTTTTATAATAGCAAAAATCAGAATTCTGTACAATCTTAATCTTTTAAGAGTAGTGCTTTAAATGATTCAGAAAATATTCTTGGATCAAAAGTTGCTGTTTGTAGTTGAAGAATTTAAATACAATTTGGATCAATTCTAAAATGTTAAGAATGTTTCATGTAGCTATTCTGAAAAAATGTATCATCGAAAATTATATAGGTACAATCCTTTAACTTAAACCCGATCATATCTATTTTTGAAATAGACTGAGTTAAAAAGGAGGCTTAAAATTGTATTGTAATAAAGGAATTTAAATTAAAATGCTTAGTATGTATTTATGTTTTAGGTGGGATTAAGTATTTGAGCAAAATTTGAAAGTTTTGAAATAAGGAATATACATTATACACAATAGAAAAATTATAATTTAAAGGATTATATTCTTACGGTTATTGTTAAAATACCCAAGACTCCTAACTTTAAACAAATGCTCATTATTGGAATTATTTCTTGGCCGTGCTTTTCTAACCCTTATTTTAATACACTGTTTTTTTAAAACAACCCAGAGATACAACATGTTACAAATAATTTCAAGTGACTAGACTACAATATATTTTTTATTTCAGAAATAAGTCTCAGGGCATTTTAGGTGAAAAAGACTGAGAAACACTGGCAGGAGAAAAAAAGATATTGGTTTAATTCCATTATAGACAGTTTTGCTTTTGCCACGCCGTAGGCCAAACCAGTGAGGTAATAACTATATTTTTAAAAATGACTCTGATGATTATTAAACTTTGCCAATTACATATTTTTCAGTTTCATTTTTTATTTAGACCTTTTATTTGCTGCTTTAAATCTGTATCAAGAAACTATGGCCTCGGAAAGACATTTATTCAAAAAACAGTTACTGAATTCCATAAAGTATAAGGCTCCAAGTTGGTGATCTAGTATTATGATTAAAATAAGTAGTGGAAAGATAACAAGGGTGATATCACATAAGATGAGAAAACAAAATGAACTGTATTTCATTTTGCTTTTTGGGGGTATTTGTTTTTAAATTATAATACTCAGAAGGTAGTGAAATTTGATTTTCTCATTTATGACATATGATAAAGTCAGACCTTTGCCCCTACTGCTCTGTTGGAGTAATTCATTTTATAGTGAATTGGTAACATGCTTCCCTCAGTTATCTACATTACTTCTTGTGGCAGCTGGGTGATTCTTAGAGATTTCCCATCCAAGAATGGTCCTGGCCCAAACCTACATAGCTTGTGAGATGTGATGGGATCAGAGCATATGGTAGGATGGCTGAAAGCAAAGACAGCTTAGTGTCTTGCATCTGAAATATCAAGATTCTGCCAACATCAGCAATATGATAACCATGTTCCATGAAATGGGGAAAAAATGTAATCGACATTCTTTAAAAAACAGTCTAATTAATCTGTAGATTCCTTTAATTGGTTGGTATCTTCCCCCACCCTCAGATAATAGAGACTAAAATATATATTTCATCTTAGAAAAGTGAAAGAGCAAATACTTAAAGCCCTTTCTCTTCACTCAGTGTAACCCAATAAGGCTCTAACCTTTCTCAGGAATATTACCTACATATTGATAAAGTACATAATTAACAAAACTTGTTACATATGAAATAAATCTACCCTTCTATTATCTTTTCTATTATCTTATTTATCTGTAGATTAAAATAATACTTAAAAAATTAATTCAGAACACAAGTGTCCTAATTTGTTCCTGGTAAATTATTTTCACTGAAGATAGTATCTCATAGGTATTTGTGATTTACTTCTCTATAGAGAACCTGACATCAAATAAATTTAGTGACCTTTACAATTAGTATCACATTTACATGACAGAAGAAAAATGTAGAGTGGACAGGAAAAAAATTATATAGGCTGTAAAACAGTTTTAACTCTATAAGAACACGTTATTATGCAACTGCATAACTTATTAACAGTATACCTCACCTGCTTGCCAACATTCTTTATTGCCAGCTGTTCAGGTGTCATCTTATCTTCTTCTTCTACAGCCTGTGAATGAAACACAAAGGACAGAGTTTAAAATTATAAATTCTCTATTCCCACTGCAGGATAATCACCAAAAATAATGATGACCAGAATTTTCATTCATAGAACTTTTATTCAAAGAATCTACTGAATAAAATTATGCTAAACTTCATAATAACCTTCAGGGCAATAAAAACTATCAGCAGCATCATTTTGAAAACAGACAAGAAATACACAGAAAGTACTGAAAATATCTAACAGGATCACTAAATGGTTGTGTTGACCATTTGCAACACAAATTGACCATTACTGAATTCTTCAGGAGATGGGAGATGGAAGTACCTGCAGTGGCACTTATGGCACTGTGGTACTAACTAATTCTGTTCTGTTGCCCTCTCCTTTTCCTATTTGCACAGTTCTTTCCCAGTTTCCCATTTCTCTGTCTCCTTTTTTCTTATCAATCCAGCCTGCCCATAACTTCAGTATCTATTTAACTATCAATAGCACTTAGGATCAAAGGAGCTACTGACTTTTGATCCACTAAACAAATCACATGGGTTTCTCTCTTAGTAATTTCACATCTTTAAATCTCTAAAATTAATACATGTATTCAGAAAAAAATCTGAAACTACTCCACATGAGTGATCTTTAGTAACCATGAAGAAACTGTCATTTGAAGTTTTCAACAAAAAATTACCTGAACTAAAAACCAAATATAATCAAAATTAAATTAACCCAAACAATACATGAAAACCACTTTCCACTACTTTCAAAGTTAGCTACAAACTCTTCTATGTATGATCATAACTTTCTGGCAGAGTAATTCTGAAATAATTATAACATTTAGATTAGCTACCACTACTGCCCTCCTCTCCCAATAATGGCACCAATATAAAACCTCTTTATTGAGAATTTCACACATAAGAAATCTTAACAGTTTAGGTATGTTATGGCCTGAAGACAAAACTCTGTATCAGGTGAACTTTTAGTCTATGATTTATTCATAGCATCTGATAAATTGAAAAAACAAGAAAATGTAAGGATCACTAACCTTAAGAAATGCCAACACAGCATTTACCACAAAAAAGAGTTACAAAAGGGGGTGAGATGGTGGTGGCAGAAAGCAGGGAACCAAAATCCCAGTGAGGGTTAGATTTGGATACTCTGAACTTTATAGTCTCACAGCTGCCAAATTTCTTCATGTGCGAACAATGAACATGTAGGAAATGTAATCATCAGACATTCCCCATAAACTGGGAAGTTTGGCTGCATTTCACACCTTCTTAATAGTTTTGTAAACAGAGAACTTGAAAATGAGCAAAGATGGCAAGTGTCTAATTTTATAAATGGACAAACTATCTAGAGAATTTTCCCCAGTAGAACCTGCCTAAAGAGAAAAGATAGTGAATAGGTATTGTATCTACTGATTATCAGAAGATACTTATTTACAACACATCATTAGGAAATGCATTTATGACTCATAAGCCCAAAAGAAGAAAAAGTAAAAGTTAATAACATGCCAAATCTAGAAATCCCTAGACAGAGAATATGCTCATTTTCAGAGTCAGATGTCACTCTATTATTTTCAGTTATAAAAGTATTTCCTAACTGGGAAATGGTTCTCCCACTATTCAATGTTTTACATAAATGGAAACATTGACAAAACATATTAAGAGTATGTTTTTCTGAATTACTTTCACAAATTGTGACACTATACTTTATTGACTTAAAAGCATTTAGATGAATGGAACAATTCACTAAGTTTGTACTACATACCCATTCAGTGTTAGTTGTTCTACGTACATGCCAACAACAGTACTTACTACAGTATTGGAAGGAGGCAAAAATTTTGGAATTTGGCTCAAAATACCAATCCATGTAAAGAACAGTTATTAGGGAATATTGTGGAGTATTGCAAACAACAAAGATGGTAGATAGACAATGAACGATGAAGGTCAAAAAGCACTTGATCTTATTTGAAAAGTTAAATAGGTATAAAAAGCGCTAATTCAAATTTTAAAAATCTTTTACATCATTTACCCACTTTACCAATTAGTTTTTCCATTCCCAATAATTAAAAGAGAGAGTTCACAAACTCTTTGAGAAGTACAGATGGTAAAAAGTACTCCCAGCCATAGATGCCATCTGGGAAATGAGGAGCAGCTGTAGATTTAGGCATATACTAAGGTTGCAAACCCCCATGACAAAAGAGTAAGCATATCTCTTCGATTCTAAGATATTCCAAATCAAATGCCTAAATATTTTCTCTATCTACCCAAGTTACCTGTATCTCATCTACCATCTGAGCAAGACCAGTTTGTCTTCATTCACAGTTCTAATCTGGCTAGTCACCAGGAAAAATGTAAGAAATGGTTGCAGCAGAAACAAATGAAATTCAGGCACAGGCAGTGTCCTCACTAGGGAACTTCTGTGTTTATGGCAACTTCTGTGATTTGGCGTCAAATTTTGCTTTTGCATTCGTGCTCTTCGGTTTACTCAACCAACAAAAAAGCACTGAAAATGTTTGTGGCTATTCACACTAGAAACGTTTTTAACAGTTTATCAACAAAGACCCCCAGATGGCTATCCCATCATGCACGGTCTGCACAGTTCTAAGAAATCCTTGGAATTTGGTCTGTTATGTGATCATAATCCCCTCCAATGTACCCCCTATCTTACAGAGGCTTTTACTAAACCCATTAACCTCATTCTCTTTTTTCTGCTAATAGTCAAGTTTCTTATATGGACAATCTGCATCTCAAATTCCATCACTTTATTTACCCTTTTACAAACACTGATGGGATCTTTGGCACTTCACTAACACTCTTAAGGATCTCCAGGAGGTCAATTCCAATGGACCTTTTTTTTTATTTTTAACTTTCTGAACATACTTAGAGCTACTCCAACATCTGTTTTCTCTTCTATTCCCTTAGCCTTTGCTTTTGCCACCCTGTCACTTATTCCACATCATGCTTCTTTCACTATTCCTTTGGTTTCTTTTTCCCACATTAACATGTTAACTTTGTTCACACTATAACATGCCATGATCCCATTTAAATATCTTTTTAATATCACCATTACGGCAATTTTTACATAAGACAGCACAAACTGCTAAAATGGCATATACTAAGTTTTCACTATTAAGCAATCAACGCATAACTGCTAGTGGATTTCAAGACAATGTATTTTACTTCTTTCATGATTTTTAAAGTATTGACTATATAAACATCATGTGTTATGGGATTGAGAATAAGTTTAAAGAACTGGCTTTGATAAAACATACTTGGGAAAGCAAAATTAACAAACATTTAGCAATTAGAAAACTGAGAAGGTATAAGAGGCTTACATATGGAGACATTAAAACTAGCTTTTCTACTACCATCACTAATTAAACATCAATATAGGCATGATTTTTACAAATATTAATTTACTGAATCCTTAAAACATCTCAATAAAGAAGTTAATCTACACTTCATATGTTAATTCCAGCAAAATTTCTAACATAAAAGGAATTTTTCAAACTCTTCTTGATCTCAAGGAGCTCACATTTGGGCTTTACTTGCCCATAAATCTCAAATCATAATGCAGTGTGAAACATACAAAAAAGGAGTGTGCACAAAGCACGATAGGGACATAGGGGTTAAGTAAATGTACCTAACTTTTTCTTGTGCATCACCTGAGGAAAGAGAGGGAAAGTCAGGGTGAGAGCACAAAGAATGCATTAGGGAGTAACACATCATGTGATACTTAGTAGTAATAGGGAAAGGGAAAAACCATGAGAGAATGGCTGGATGTGGAAGAAGAGCAAGAGAGACGAGTCCAAAGTTTCAGACCTACATGATGCCTAGAAAAATGAGTGTCAGTTATAACCTAATTGGTAGAGGGAACTGTCATGAAAAAGTAGAAAGTAAGGTAGACAATACTGCTTACTCTTGAACAGCAGCATCTGAAGTAATGAATATGTAAGTGGAAAGGTCTCAAACAGTGGAGATGATAATACATTTCAAATGAGAGGAAATGAAGAGATTTCAAAGTTGTTGGCATTGCTAAACTATGAAAACAGACTTTTAAAGAAAGGTATAAAAACAGAAGAGCAGAAAGGCAAGGGTTGAATCTTGGAAATGCTCATAGCAAAGGCAGCAAAGCTAGCTAGCAAAGGCAGCAGAGTGTGTAGTTGCCAAAAAGTCAGGAGAACCATGGGACTGTATGGCCATGGAAGTAAAAAGAAGAGACTTCAGAAGTTCAAAGGTATGATGTGAAGGCAAGAGGACAAGGAAAATAGCTGAAAGAGATGCAAGACTCAGTGCACTAAGAAAATAAATCACTCATCTCTTTTAACAAGCTGGAAACAGCAAATTGTCATCAGCACTGTACTCTGTCATGAAAAGGTTATGACTCTGAGAACACTGGAGGCAGGCGGAAGGAAATGATCAATGATGTAGGAGGTTATATTTTATCCAGTTAGCCTTAAGGAAGGGAGAGGGGCAAAGGGTGCCATGATAGAGAACAGCTGAAGATTAGAAAGAAAGGTGCCCCTCAGAGGACATTGCATTTCCTTAAATTTTAGTTTATATTATGTTAATATTAGTTAATAACAGTGCTTATGATTGGCCACTTAATAAAGTTACATTTTTGGTAGAAAAATACAAGTATAGCATAATTTCATTCATTTAACAAATACTTATTGAGCATCTACCATTTATCTGGCAGTGTACTAAAGATAAAATGAGACAATATCTGAATTCACAGAGCTTATAGACTAGCTGTAAAAACCAGGAAATTAAAAAGTAGTAATTAGGCTGGGCATAGTGGCTCACGACTGTAATAATCTCAGCTACCCAGGAGGCTGAGGGGGGAGCATCACTTAAGGCCAAGAAGTTGAGACCACCTTGGGAAACACATCAGGACTTTGTATCTTTTAAAAAAAAAAAAAAAAAGCCAGGCATAGTGGTGAGTGCTTGGAGTCCTAGCCACTCAGGAGGCTGAGGAAAGAGGACTGCTTGAACTCAGGAGGTCAAGACTAC